ATAAAAGAGAGAAAAAACATATGGATAGGTAGATGTTTGGGATATAGATAAAACGAATTGTTTGGTAAACTGTGGCTAATCCTATAATAACCCATTATAAGGGCTTACCATATTACTGCTCTGTGTGTGTGATAGATAACTTTTATTGTTGTTGTTGTATAGAAAATTATTTATAGCATGAAATTTTAACAAGTTTCGTTATAAACACTTAGAATTGTATATCTTGAATTATAAATATCCTAATTGGTTAGCGTTCCAGACTGTGAATCCGACAGTCCCTGGCTCGTGTTATAAGAGTGATGATCAAATCCCACTATTTGATTATAATATACCAAAGTTGGTGTTATTGACTAATTGAATTTTTTCTAGTCTTATCACTTCAAAATTTGGGACTGCTATTGCAGATAGTCATTGTATATCTTTGCACAAACATGAGAAACAAACGATTTCATTCTCGTGGTACAGATAGTGGATACGCTTGTTGTTTTTCTTGTTGATGTCTATCTTCTACATATTTGATTATCCAAGCTTCGGTAGCGCTGGACTGGAGGGGTTGGGATGGGGGTGATTTCACATGTTTACGATTATATGAAGACCAGGTGTTAAATGTGATTTGCAAAGATTTCGATCAAATTTATTGGAATTTTTATCGAGGTAACGCCTGAACGGTCATGTGTATAAATGCTTACATTATTGACTGTATTTTTAATTTTACAACAAGGTATGAAGCTTAAGATTGAAGAAGGCACAAGTTGTTTTCATATTATTAGACTTATACAAGTTGTGTTTTATATACAATTAAAAGAAATAGAAAAATTACTGGATTTATATTTTATAACCTCTGGGTGCTTTAAGTGTAGATGGCGCTAAAGGAATGCAAATGATAATGTAGTTTTTTTATAGAAGTCTTAACCGAACTTCAATTTTTACTCCTGAAGAAGATGACGTAAGAAGACTGAAACAAAGGGCTGGTCCTTGTTTTTAATAAATTATTTAAATTGTGTTTGATTACTTAGGCCTTCATCTGAAACGAGCTTTGCATATCTCACAATATTTCTCTTTACTGAGACGGTTAAAAAGTTTTTAATTTATTCTCAACGAATCATTATACAGATTATTATCTGGAGAGTAACGATCGTTTTTTTCTAACTTTATTGCCAAAATGTCTAATTCCCGCAGCATGCACTAGAAACTTTGAAAAACAACAAAATGTGATTTCGATTAACGTAATAATAGTTTTGTTTTCTCATTGTTGACATCAACGTGCAATTGGATGCACAGAGAAGTCATTATTTCTTGACTGGATGAGTTGTCATCCATAAAAATGTTTATCAAATCACGTCTTAAAAATATATTATACAGTTGTAATCAACTCAGTTCACTAACTAAATAAGTTAACCAAACCCCCTGGCGTTTTTCTAACGCAATCGATCTCTAAATAATCCAAATCGCTTAAAATGAAATTTAAGAAAAAGCTTTGTGAAAACTGACAATTCATGTGGTACGAGCTGGTTCATTACACCATTTATAAACATTACCAGTAAGCCACTACTAAATTCTTAGTTTGATAATTTGCAGAATTGAAAGTTTCAGTTGCTAAAGAGTTGCAAAATAAAACAAAAGAATTACATGTCGGTGTAATGCGTTTACATTCTGACATTACTTATTTATTTTAAGGGTTAGGGGGTGGGGACTAGCGATTAGCTTGCCCCGATTGTGAATCTGGAGATTCGATTCATGGTTTGCGTCCCGTTACCTTAAAAAAATACTCTTCGCATTTTTAGGGCAGTGGGTGCACTATAACACTAGCGATGGATACTGTGACAAGCTTCTTTCTCTCGATATGGGCTTATCAGTTTCAAATTAGGGACGGCTATGTGTAGGTAGCCCGTGAGTAGCTTTGCTTGAAAATTCCAAATAAAACTACAAAGTAAATATGGTTTTTGTGACCGTAGTACATTGTACACTAAATTTAAATATTTTTGTAAGAAAAATATCTACCTTTAAACATTGGAATTCTCATTTAAAGAGAAATCGAGTTATGTGACGTAACGCCACAAATAAATTAATTTCATTCTCAGTTGCGTGAATTAGTTTATATATATTTGAAGTAATAAAAATAATAGCTAAGCTATACGTGTATCTCCCCGCTTCCGTTCCTGTGCGCACGTTCGCATTTTGCGAAATAGCACTTTAGATATGTTTATAGCACTTAGGTGATTAAAATTGTTGGTGAACGTATTTAAAGTGATAGTGACAGATGTTTAGAGCTCGTACATTACTGTTGGACGTCACGTGTTTTAGTGTTGGACGAGTATAAGGGCTTGACGAAAGTTTTTTGCAGAATGTGGTAGTGTAATGAGTAGAATAATTAGATTGTTTCGGTCATTGGCTTTATAAACAGAGTACATATCTGTTTACAGTTGATACGTTAGGTTTGCTCTTTATGTTCACTAGTCATCGCCCAGAACGCTCTTGTACCGTTCAGACGTGAAATCCGTTGTCAGGGCAGCTTATGGAGTCGCTACCAGTACAGTCGTGATGTCAGTGTAAGATATTGCAGGAGTGTAACGTAAGAGGGAGAACTGAGCATGGTTTACACCCCTGTGAATGTGTTATTCATGGTTTATTTGTCTTAACTACAGGTCAGCTCATCGCGCTCCCAATTCACTTTGCTATAATGTGGAGTTGTGTTAATTAGCTCAACTTCTGTCACATCATGCTTACATGATTTTTTTTTCTTTCCAGTTTTGGATATGTCACATTTCAGTAATCTATAATTCTGTCTTTTCTTAATTAAATATTAGATGATACTAGTACTAAGTCTGTATCATATCTGTTTTAAACCTATTCCTTCACAGTGTCTATAATCATAGACATTATAATAATAAACATAGCTGACTGAAAGGGTTAAAATGATCTGAAACATACTGTCACTACTATGTTTAGAGGTCAAAGGTAGTACTTCACAATAACTTAAAAAATTTGAAACCACCTACATGATAGGTTAAGTTGTTAGATATAATTGATTAAGGACAGTGATATATATTTCACCCTTAATGTGTACTGTAGGTGACCACAGTAACATTTTACTTCACAATATCTGATGGATATTTAATTATCCATGTCACACAAGAACAGAACTCATCAAATTATTGTGATACAGTTTATAAGTTTCAGATAAAACTAGTTACTTGGATGAATAAGTTTCAAATAAATCCAGTTACTTCAATGTAACTTTCAGATAAAAACTATTTACTTGGATAAATATGTTTCAGATAAAAACCAGTTACTTGGATAAATATGTTTCAGATAAAACTAGTTACTTGGATAAATATGTTTCAGATAAAACCAGTTTCTTGGATGAATAAGTTTCAGATAAAACCAGTTTCTTGGATGAATAAGTTTCAGATAAAAACCAGTTTCTTGGATGAATAAGTTTCAGATAAAACCAGTTTCTTGGATGAATAAGTTTCAGATAAAACCAGTTTCTTGGATGAATAAGTTTCAGATAAAACCAGTTTCTTGGATGAATTAGTTTCAGATAAAACCAATTACTTGGATAAATATATATTAGATAAAACTAGTTACTTGGATAAATATATTTTAGATAAAACTAGTTACTTGGATAAATATATTTTAGATAAACCAGTTACTTGGATAAATATATTTTAGATAAAACCAATTGCTTGGATAAATATATTTTAGATAAAACCAATTGCTTGGATAAATATATATTAGATAAAACCAATTGCTTGGATAAATATATATTAGATAAAACTAGTTACTTGGATAAATATATATTAGATAAACCAGTTACTTGGATAAATATATTTTAGATAAAACTAGTTACTTGGATAAATACATATTAGATAAACTAGTTACTTGGATAAAGATGTTTCAGATAAAACTAGTGACTTGGACAAATATGTTTCAGATAAAACTAGTGACTTGGACAAATAAGTTTCAGATAAACTAGTTACTTGGATAAATATATATTAGATAAAACTAGTTACTTGGATAAATAAGTTTCAGATAAAACTAGTGACTTGGACAAATAAAGTTTCAGATAAAACTAATTACTGAAAGATTTAAACAAACAAAATACATCTATATATGATTCTGTTTTATGAATTTTTACATCTTCCATGAAAATAAAGCTTTATACAGATTCCTCCTACTTAGACTATATAAACTCCAGATACACTCACTTAAGTGGTGTGTAGCTGTTGGTGAGGGAGGAGCTCTTTGATTGACAGTAGAATTACTGTGGTGATTACTCCTAATGTAGTAAAGTGGTTCAAGAAAGGATCTACCACTAGTGGATATTGACTTAACAGGGAGGTGTGGCATTTTATGTCTGACCAATAGCATTTGTCCTGTTTATACCCCTCCACCAATAGCATTTGTCCTCCACTCTATATATAGAAGTGCATTAGCATAAAAGAAGTATATTAAGAAGTTTGTGCTTTGTCCATATTTTTCTTTTCAGAATTTGAGGAATTCCAAATCTATTAAGCATTGTAAAGAATTAAGCCACAGTTTTTTACGTACTTAAAACAGTGAAGTTTAAGAAATGTGTCATTCTGAACAGATAGAAGATGCATCAAGTGCTACCATTTATCTTCTTGGGTGAGAACTCTATATTAAGTTTTATCTGCCCATTGCTTTCTTTACTGTTCTGTTGAATTAAAATCTGGTAATCTAAGTGTTTGCCTGGTTAGTATTAACTATTGTTATACCTGAATGCAGACTATGATGAAATTTTGAGTAACATAATGTACTCATGTGTATGGTATTAACACACACTGTAGATTATGTTGTATATAAAACATGCATAAGATACTCTACTTAATATTTTTTTAGTCAAACTTACAACTGTTAAATTCATTTTTAATAACCTCTAAATTGTATTGTGTACGTGTGTGTTTTTTTTTACAGTATATATGTATTTGATTGTAATAGAAAAACTGAAATTTTTGGATCGGAAATTTCTTCAGATCTTACGATGAATGTGACAATGCTTTTGTGTCTAAACTTGGAAAGGATCTGAGGAAAATAGCTGATGAATTTGCTGCCAGTGCTGCAAGACAGAAAGTAAAGAAGAAAGCTGAAGAAGTAAGTTTACGAAGTTCTGTGTGAAATCAGTTCTTATTTGTCATGTTTTTTTTAATTTCTTTAATATTAGGCACAAGAGTGTGAGAAGCATATTTAATTTTACTTCTAAAGGTACATTTATGAAACCAAATGTAGCTTTTTCTATACTCTGTTGTGTTTCAGAGGAGAGTTTAGAATATAGAATTTTATTTATTTTTCAGACATTATCTGTTAATTCATACACATGCCCAATAGATTAGGTCTACTGGTTTCTTTTCAAAATACTTTTTAATGGTGAATGAGCTCTATTAACAGACTTATAAAATAATCCACAATCAGATTACATGGCAGTAATTTTAAACTATTCTGACATTTGTATGTCACCCGAGTTCTTGTGATACTATCTTGTACCTCAAGTTCATTTTATTTTGTATGTTCTTACATTTTTAGATTAACACGAGTCAACTGTCACCTCAGAAATTCAACAGATTGCTTGTGGAGTTGTTTTCAGATGGATTTAATACCACAGAAGGTATCGTCACCCTCTTCTTCTTCTGTAGCGACCTTATACTTAAAGGTTGCTACATTGATTATTGTATAATGGGTATGATGTGGTCTTGTAGCTTCATAAGAAACCATGTGGGGAACTGGATTTACCAAAATGGTGGTTGGGTAAGTAACAAAATATGTTTTGTTTTTCATTAAGTTTTATTTAGATGAAACCATGAATTTTATAGTTAACTGTATGCCAGTTAATAAAACTTAGTTTATGGTTACAAATTTTCTCTTAACGACATTAAGACTGTAAGTGTCTGAGCTGGTCTTTTAATTTAACAATTGAAAATAATGAAAAAGATGTAATTTTTCTATTAACCAAAAATATTTATAGTAAGTTAATCTTGCAATCAGCTTTTACAGAAAGGAAGTTTTTTTTTTTTACTGTAAAAGTTGTAAACTCAAAGCAAGACTAAATAACTCATCCTGTTGAGTTTCTAACTTAATTCAATGTCTGCATATTTATTGTTTTTTTTAAGCATTTTAAGTTCATAAAAGGATCTTTATAAAAACAAAAAAATAGTATTTGTGTTATGTATATAACAATGAATAACTTTAGTTTTCAACGTCATTAATTTTGGAAATGTTTTGAAACTCTTGTGTAGTATTAGAGCAGACAGTATTCATTCTCATCAAGAGTAACATCCTCAATAATACTTTTATTTTAAGAAGTAAGACTGCAGGATTTAATTTCATATTTCAACAAATGTGAAACTACTGTGATACAGTCTCTGTTAGCTTTACGTTGTTACTGATGTAGTGATATACACAGGAAAATAGTCCTGTGTACTTGTTAACACATGACTTTAAGAATGTCCTATAAAAATGTAGTTGGCACAACACCACACCTGAAGAGTATTCTATATAAAAAATTACTGAAGTATTTTCCATACTAACATTTTTAACTATCGGTTAATCATGCGAGTTGTAAGAGAATAAGAAGTGTTGTACAAATGGAATATTGCTCATTTTTAACAGTTATACACCTATTTTTTGTATTTCTCCGTTATATTTAAAGGTTAAATTTTCTGTAACATTCTGAAATTTTCACAGTTGCATCTTTATAATTTTATTCTGAAGCTTGAATTTCCAAATGTAGTAAAATAACTGTGGTAAAAATGTCCTTAAACTTGGAAAATCGTATTATTTTAGTAAGCGTATAAAACGTTTTATTTAATACGTAGTAACACTTCATCTGAGAGTATAACATCATTCGTGATACATTTATTAATTTGCAGAAAAACAACGTATAAATATCAGTTTGTTGAATTTTATGTTGTCACTGTTATGTAATTGGAATACTTTATATAATTGTGATATATCAGTATTGAATTTTCTATGTGTGGTGTAGACATCATTACGCAGATTTTGTAGAAATATGGAATACAGGTTGAAACAGGTTATTCTTTCATTGGACAGGTCACTGGTTAGGCCACATTTGGAATATTGTGTTCAGTCTTGGGCTCCTTACCTCAGGAAGGACATTGAATTGTTGGAAAGGGTTACTAGAGTGGTGTGGATGGGATGGAGGGGGGTTGTCA